AGGAAGCGGAATTCTCGCAACTGTAAGAAGTGTCTCATAAATGAGTAGTTCAGGAAAGATAACATCGCTATGCACAGCTCCGAATCATACACTACCAAGATGGTTTCCTGATCAGTATGGGTTAAACTTCATTATTGTGGGAATCATATAGCTTTCAACATAGTATTGTGAATGCAATGGTAATAATGGTAGAACATTGAAATGATGATTTGAGAACAGATAAAACTTGCAGTTAAGAGCTAAAATCTATGTATCATACGCCTATAAAGCTGATTTTACTCTAGGCATCTCCAACTATTCGGAAAGAAGGTGAAGGTACACCAGCAAAATTCTCCGAAAAAAGATTTTCAAAGAACAGAAGGTTCGCTTATAAGTGAACACACAAAGTTGTGCAACGTGCATATCTACAAAATAAACCACTCTTAAGTTTACCTCCCAGCCTCCATGCTTTTCGTCGCAATCGCTGACTTGCTCTTCTTGGATTTAGAAGCAGAGAATTGTTTTTCTAAAAAATATAAAAGAAGCATCATTAAAAAAAAGGAAATTTTTTAAAGCAGACTTGAATCCTTATTAGTTAATTGTTCTTGAGAATCGTAAGCGATACTCCTTTCCTGCGTTTTTCTTGACCTGAAACTATCCTCTACAACAGCTGTACGAAGCCCCATGAATATACAGACTTTGCTTTATTCGGCTGCCGCTTGATCGGCATTGCATGCTTCACCGGAACTTTAGCTTTCATCTGACGACGACGAGTAAGTTTTGTTTCATGTTTCGCTGCAGACTCCTCTAAAAAGCACACATAAGCATGCGAGAAATAAGGTACAGATCTGAAAGTTCTTCTATCTTTTCAAAAAATTTACAATTTTTCAAGCAATTCATCATCATCAGCAATTCATCGACTGTCTGATCTTAGCAGAAAATGAGTGGAAGCTTTCCAGGGCCAGAAGCAAACGGGGAGGAAATCCTCTTCCCATTTCTCCAGCTCTCAAGAACGGTAAATCACAAATAAAGTACGCTGTCCAGTTAACTTCGGGAAATTCTAGCTTGCCTCTGGCCCCCAGCCCACGCATTCAGTGATTTCTCTTTAGCGTTGGCCGTGTCTGGCTTCTCTCAAGAGCAGTTCTCACTAACAAGGCAGTCATGCGACATCTATG